GTCGGCCACTCGCGGCTAGCCGTTACATGTACATTTTCACTCTTCCATTTAGTCTACAGTCACTTTTGAAACTAATCCATTCATTCTCTTCTATTCCCCCTGAAAAATTTTTGAAAGAGCAGTAAATTTTTTTCGCCACATAAAAAACGAATATCTGTGGTAATAATAACTGAAAAATTTTTTATTGTCCCCCCTGAAATTTTTTTGCCAGTCCGCCGATGCACACACAGGTTATATATAGAGATAACATGAGAGAGAGAGAGAGAGAGAGAGAGAACAAAGATTTAGGCGACTGGACGCTAACAGAGGTATTCGAGATTATTGAAATCCGTCGATTACATATGATTGAACGTGCAAATTATATCAAATAAAATCGTGTAGCAATATAATCCAATGCAAATCATAGCCTAGAACAATCAATAGACTTAGCTCTGCAATTTTTCCTTCAGATGTTTTACTTTTTCAGCTTTTGCTTCCACAATATAATATAACGTCTACTTTATTTATTTTGAAAGTCAAACGAATTCTAAACTATATTAATATTTGTAGAAGATGTTTCTTACCACTAGTGCAGATGATATCAATTTATTCAATACAAGAAAATTATTAATTCAATGACATAGTTGAAAACATACCAAATGACATATTCACAAGTATCTTTCGAGTAAAAGTTTACATTAAAATCCATACTTCTCTATTTTTCAGTTTTGATTTTTCGTTCAATTAATAACCATCAAATCTCCCGAATTAAGTATATTGTTTTGAAGTTTCTCGTTTGTTTTCTATATAGATATCCTTTTATGAAATGTAAACGAAAAAATATGTATGATTCTTATTTTTTCGTCACATTCGTTCTCTACTTTCAATCTTGTTTATACATTCCTTCACGAACGCTTCTTCTCTGAAAAAAATATATATCAATCTATCGCATACCATATTTCCACATCTCAAGGACATTCTTTATTCCTTCTACTGAAAGGAGGGTATACGCAGAATTTGAGCTAAAGTTCGTTCGTCCGTTCACACACTTTACAGTGATGAAATAACAATCTATATTGCTGACGCCTAAGGGTTGACCGAAGGGTAATCGGAGTCGAGGATCTCGAATCCGGTGTTTGTTTTTTCATGAACACTTTCTTACCCGTTTTTTACGACAAAGAATCAATTTTTTAGACGATAATGTTTTAAGCGGCAATATGTAGAACAAAATGTAACAGCTGACTGACGTCCGATCGCTGGATCTTCATAGTCATCAGCATATTAATGAGATCACACACTTTTATAAACATGTATACTATACGAATATCATGTGATGCCAGTCATTCAAAATAATGTTTCGCTTGTTAGGTGTTGTCTTCGACAGTCACAGTAGCACAAAGAGGGTGACTTTTAAAGAGGGAATAGAAGAGAATGAATGGATTAGTTTCAAAAGTGACTGTAGACTAAATGGAAGAGTGAAAATGTACATGTAACGGCTAGCCGCGAGTGGCCGACCGGAGGGAGGCTCACGATCGACTAGTCGTCGATTTGCAGAATAATATTTTCAAGGGCAAATTTTGTGATTTCTATAGAGCTTTAAGATTTCTTGGTCAGAAATTGATCGTTGCTTTCCACGAACATAGCTGGCAGCTATTTAAGGTTCCTCGTGGTGGAGAGAAAATTGGAACGTTTTCCAGAGAATCATATAGCTATGTAAATTTTCTAAGTTTTTGATTATGAATTGATTTTCCGAAATGCGCTCATTTTTGGAACGCGTCTTCGTCTGAATGAAGTTAAGATAGTAAAATGAGTAGGCATGGGAACAGCTAGCCGTGAGTGGCCGACCGAAGGGAGGCCGACGAACGACTAGTTGTTTCTTTTGAAAATTAGTTGAAAAGTGAGATTTATAAGACTGTCGCAAAGTGTCTATAATTTTTCTAAGGTATATATATATATATATATATATATATATATATATAATGTCTTTTCGAGCTTCGAGAGAAAACTGTGTAGATCATCAACTCATTCAACTAAAAATGATAATGAAAGATATACTGTAGGTCACGAAGTTGTGAAGAATTTCGGCAATTTTGCTAGAGACGGACTCAACAAGAACGAGGTACTTTTTAATATGAAAATATCATTAAACACTTATTGGGTACCGATGGCTAGCTATGAGTGGTCGACCGGAGAGAGGCCCACAGACAACTAGGCGTTATAATTTCAGAAGATTTCAGGAAGCGAAATTGGTCTAGGTAAAACATTCTGACAGATTATCAAATGATCAGATCGTTCAACTGAAATAACTTTTTTCTCTCTTTGGACGAATAGTAGCGCTCTAATACTATTCTTTCAGTAGAGGGTTTAGCGGCTACTAGGCCGCGTTACTTGTAGTTTTTTTCTTCGACATTCCATCGCATTGTTTCACATCTTTGTTTTATTCATACCATAACCTCATTTCCTATCCATAGGGAATAGATTAAAGTGCATTCTTTCCCACATACCCATGCGTGGTACAGTCTAGAGTTCACTTTCCTCATAAGCACTATAAAATACTCAGAACAATTTCGAACGTATATTCGTTTTATTTCAGTTATCTTACAAGTAAGTAGCATCTATATATTCTTTCATTACTTTATAGTTTAACAGTCATATTCCTATTGCGATTATTCAATACGAGACTACCGTTCTCTTTCTAGTCTACAACGTTAAACCAATGTTTCATTCTAATAATCAAAACTCTTACTCATACTATCCTCAATGTCCTTATTGAAAACCTGCCACCATTTTCTTAATACTATGATTAATTTCAGAATTTCATTTAAGCCAATAGCCAAATATATCACACCGTATAATACAAACAACAATTTAACACAGAGCAAAATTACCTCACCACATCAACGAAGATTATCTTCCAACATCCATCCCATCATCTAACACAATTATTTAAAAAAATCCATTCACTTCGGATCACAACAGCAATAATATCATTTCGCTCAAAGCGTACAAGCCCACGAGATCAGTGAGTATTGAAATAAGCTTATTTAGACGAAAGATTAAAATCAACAAAGCCAGACTGATACTATCAATTTAATTCTCAATTCCTTTCGACTCAAGCAGATTTTCTTTGTACCGCCTGATGATCGATTCTTTTAATAAGAGTCGAAAATCCGGATAGTGGTAGTTATAGTTTTGAACTCATCCTCAAAATAAATCCTCAAAACCAAGAATTTTGGTATTGATGCATGCCTAAAACTAACACATTCGATGAGATTGTTGGCAATTAATCCAATAATCCAAAATAAAGATTATTTCAAAACACTTTGTAACATACTGGGAAATTCATTTGAAATGCAGTTAGAAAGAACTGCTACACATAAAGCATGGGGAGGAGAAGTGCAAATTCAAGCTCTATAATAAGAAACCAACGGGTGGTCATCTAATATACCTTGGATATGAATCAGATAGAAACGAAATAGGACTTTGTGTTTATTACACCGGTACACATTATGGTGCTCTTTTACCTTGTTAACATAATCCTCCTCAGTTTGTACCGCATTTTGACCTAATAAACATGAATTTCTAACATAGAAATACTTTCATTAAAAATATAAAAAACTGATAAAAACAAATTTTCCGTTGATGCAAGTAATTATTTCGGTGGAACTAACTCCTCGCCGTGTCCTACGGGACAAAAAGGGGGCATCCGCAGGACCTAAAGAGTGGTTCCTCAGTGCGTTCAAAGACGATTTACTTTAGATGAATCCATTAAAACTAATTTGTCATCGTCTCTACTTTTTGAAGTACACATAGCACTCGGATTTCAATCCGAGGTTTCCGCATTTATTTTTAGAATGAGAATGAAAACTATAACTTGAGAAATTAATTCAATTCTCATGGAATCCTATGAACAATATTATCTCATCAATATAAAGTTTGAGTTCATCGGTAGCTTTTTCTCATAATCTGAAACACATGTGTAATCATCTTTTAACGAAAAAATAAATTAATTTTGATGAAATTTATTGATAAGTCAAAAAGCAAAAGTTGATTCAAATTATGATTTTGTTATTGGCAATGGTGCTGAATCGTTTAGTTTCAGATTTTGATCACTATCGAGCCAGTTTCTTATTTTCTTCCATTTGTTTGAATTATAAACTAGGTGTCGATAGACAATATTGTACGCTCGTTTTAATTCATCATTATTTTTGACAGTATTTTTGCACATCTTGACTTGCTCAATAGTAAACTCATTAGGAATACCTAAAGTTTTACAGGCATTTTCCAAAACTTCATGATAATTCTTAGCAATTTCATAAGCAGCGGTCACTTTCTTGAATTCTTCCTCAGCAACTGCTTTATTATCACATTTATCTGGGTGTGTGGCTTGTGCTTTTCGATAGTATGCTTGTTGAATCTTTCTCATCGTACTATCAGGATTACATGCAAGTATTGTTAGAGCTGCACAGTATAGTTTACGTTGAGCATTTAGTTCCTCAGCTTCGCCATCTGGAAAATATTTTTCCATCAGACGTCTAATTACATAATCGGCACCGCCACCGCATACGAGTCCACCAGCTGCTGTACCAACCAATACTAATAATCCCGCTGGCCAACTAGCTAGCCCCAACAGACCTGCACAACCTGCTGCAAACCATCCTGCCGTAGCTCCACCACTGAATCCAGCTACTACAGACACAGCAGATGTAGCTATTGATTTGATAAACTGACGAGTTGTAATATCGCCATGCCAAAGTTGGACACTATGCATACCAAATTGAACAGCGAATATAATTCCGGCAATGGCGAAATCTGAATATTGAATTTCATAGCCAATAGATTTACCAAAATAACGATAGTTATCGAACTGTATAGAACCATTGAACAGATTACGAAATCTCGGAAATATTCGTTTTGCACCATTGACAGACACATGTGCTAGTTCATATGCACTAACCATGACTCCATCTCTCATTATATAATGGTTCAGTCTTAGTTTACACAACCATTTGGAAACGTTTTGTGGTGAATCAACTGTACCATAATAATTCAATTTCTTGTACACTAATTGTAACTCTTGTTTCACATATTCTTGATTGTAGATTTTCTTGGCAGATTCAGTATCGAATCCTAATTGTTGAAGATCTTCTATGGTACGTTCTGCTCCATCTTCTTCGTAGAACAAACGTATCGTAGCATAAATTCTATGTATTTCACAGATTTCAAATGCCTTTCGAAGATTGATACCATGATGCTGAAATTCACTTGAAAGCGACTTTACACCTTCAAGAAAATGCGTGATTACTTGAAATATTTCTTTATTTTCAGGATTATTTTTGAATCCTTTATTCTCTTCATTCCAATAATTAGTATTTGATAGAACTGATTCTAAAATATCTTTCGCGGTCGCATCATTCAGTTGATTGAATAAATCAAGGAATTTTTCTTTGAAATTCTCATGTAAATCTGATGGTTTTTCATATTCAATTTTGCTGAGTAAATATAAACCAGTTAATTCAGTGTCTGAACGAAATAATGGTTCATTAGATAATTGATGTAACACAATATAATAATCACAATGATATACTCCATTATCAAAAGTTTCGTCACGATTTTGTTCGACTCTTAAAACTTTCCAGCGAGAACAAAATGACGCTACAACTTCGTTCTCAAACTGATAACAACTCCATTGTTGTATTGATACTCCATGTGTCATATATAATTTCAGAAGAGTCCTTTTATGTAGTCCAGCGTTCGGTGGAACATTCATAAAACATAGAGTCTGATTTTTGTCTCTTGATGTGCTGCATATGCCTGTAAAACAAATTGTCTTTCCAACAATGATTTTTCCAAGATCTGGAGCAGTATTCATTCCACGCCATGTAATTTCACGAATCGATGGTAAACTACGTAGTCCTGATTCAAGTAAGAAGAGTGAAGATCGCATGCAAATTAATTTTTCATTTCGTTCTCTCAGAAATTGATTTGTTAAGTAGTAAAATGATCTGTTTTGATTAGATGCTTCTTGACAGTAAAGAGCAATAAAAATTGCTTGATATTTTGTAAGGCCAGTATAATCAATAGTGGTAATTTTATTTTTGGCTTGTCTGATCTCCGATTCAGTATTTTCCATCGGAATATCTGCTAAATACTGTTCACATGTAAAATGCGGAATGAATTCAAATTGATGAAAAAACGATATTGCACCCAGTTCTTCAGTGAAACTGTTGTTACATTGTGATTTAATCTTAATTAGATTGTCTCTTAGAGTTCTAATACGATTTAATGGTGCTGATGGGATGTTTTTTGCTAACTCATTTAGTATTGAATTCGAAGTCTCCAGAAAATCTTCGATTGTCGCGATACCAGCGTCGCTTAGATAAGAAAAATATCTTCTCCAATTAGGTGTAGTTAATGCTTCCGTGAAAACAATTTGTTGGAAAATAGCAGTTTCAGCTTCCATGAGTTTGCTGAATAAATACTACAAGATACAAGAAATTCTTAAAATACAATGTATACACCAATGTATCTTTAAATATCGATATATCACTCCTTGCTTTAGCTCTCTAAGAGTATACACGCATTCCTTTCATACTTTACCCTCTCCCCGTTTTCTTATCTTCTCGCCAGCTACACCATCTCTTTTCACTAATTATTTCAAGCTCTTTTATCTATTCTCAATTAAACAATTAAGCCCATTAGTGCTCGCGACTATTATATCTCTTTGCAATTATAATCGTTATTTCTTTCAACTACTCTCCTAGCTCACTATGAGCGGGGAACCGAAACTTTTCAAGAGTAGTGATGGCTCTCAAATTATCTTTGATACAAAATCCGGTAAATGGTACTCGCTTCAATCAAACACGTCACCAAACTCGCCTAACAACTATTCCTATCTAACTTTAAACCATGAGAGGAAAAAATCAACGTCAAAAGCACCTGATATACGACCGTTTGCAACGAGTAAGCAGACAAACTCAACAGTAACTAAAACAATCGTCAATCAACAACAAAAAGAAAGCACGTGGAACAACGATACAAGCGAAACTGCATGCCAACATGCACCGACAACAATTCACACCGAAGAACAGAACAATACCCCTATTTTATTAGAACAAGATGAAATGCGTGTAGCCGACAAAAACGATGACTCAGACACCGATTGCGTTGATCCACAAGAACAAACAAAACGCTCGCTAAACGTCAGCGACGATTTTACATTAGTAAAATCAAACAAAATCCGAAAAAAGGAACACGGAAATGAAATCAAATGGCCACACGTGGATAAACCAACTACAGCTACAACAAACGTCGAAAGAGATAACCATGAAATATCGCTAGAGCACATCCAGCGTGCAGTTGTGCACAATCTACCGTGCTTTACGATTAACTTCGATAACTCTGCGCAGTTCCCATCAGCAGTAGCTGCATCGGATGCACCATATAGTCATTTTGAAAAGAAAAACGTTCAATTGTCAAATAGATTCTCGGTTGTACGATATATAGGTCACCAACTCAAGATCGGAATGAAAGATAAAGAAGACTACCTTAAACTCTGCGATGTCAGTCTATGGCCAGCCGAAATTCAAAACCGTAAAATCTCAGTAACGCTACCTAAATTTACGCCCGATCAATTCGCGTTGGTCGTCCGTAATGTGCCATTAGAATTTGCAGCTGAACATGTAATGGAGGAAGTAAGAAAATCTGCAACATCAGTGGATAAGTTCCGCATGATCATCTACCCATACCAACGTACAACAAATGATTTTCGATTCATCGTCTCAGATCTGAAGGAATATAATGGATTAATAAATTTGGGTCATGTTGGTGTAGGAAATAAACTATGCACAATAACACTATACAGACCAGCAAACAAAATTACATTCTGCAACAAGTGCTGGTGCATAGGTCACATACGTAGCAGATGTAGTAGCACGGTTCAAAAGTGTAGATTCTGTCTCCAAGAATATAACCAAGACCATAATGAAATATGCACAAAACAGTACAAATGTGCTCAATGTCACGAAGACCACTACTCATTAGATGCAAACTGCGAAATAATCAGAGAGTACCGAGCAAATCTGAACAAAGCAGTAAAAAAAGCAACAGTAGAAGGGAAAATCAAGCTTCCTGAAGCCGACACTCGGCAACCGTTAACAAACCAAAAATTCAAATCTGCACTAGACACATTTCCACCTCTCCCCGGTGCATCTGCGCAACAAGTGTGCAGACCTGCAGCTTGGAGGACAACTGCACCAACTACGACGCAAATATTAAACCAAACAGCTCCAGTGGATATCACTAACCAACAATTATTCGACAAAATATGTTGCCACCTGGACGAGAAGTTGAGCACAGTAAACGATCATATTGCCAATCTAAAATTAAAAGTGAAGGAAAATGAAAAAGCGGGCTTAGAAACACGAAAAAGTGTTTCGAGTCTGGTGGGTCTTGTGAAGCTATTAATCACAGATATTATACCTCCAATCGTGAAAGTGGCATTTAGTAAAGACACCAAAGCGAAAAAAGAAGTCGAAAAAACGACAGAACTAATAAAAGATCAACTACAAGTGCTATACGCGGATATGGAATTAGATGGTGTGACAACTGAAATGAAGAATATAGAAGAAGCTCAGGAACAGGTAGACAAACCAATCAACCCAGGAACTTAGTTTAAAAAAAAATGCTCAATCCAAATGCTTCAGCTTTTGCATGTGCTTATAATAAAGCTCCAAATCCAATAGTGAGAATAGACGAGAGATTACGGAAATGTAAGGTAGCAGTTAAAGACAGAAAGCAGATCAACAAGATCATTCATGAATGGTATACAGCCCCAACGCTAAATAGTATCCTCACTAAATGGGAAGATCACAACAATAGAAATGCTCTCTCATTAAATAAACACTCAACTCCCATGACCTTTGTAGTTTACAACGTAGAGGGATTATGCACTAGAAGTTTAGAAGTTACCGAACTGATCAATAAAATCGAGGCAGCGTTTATAGTATGTACGGAAGTTGGAGAAATCTGGAATAAACATCCTTTGCCTGAGTATAATATGTTCGATCAAAAAGGGACAAATAAGAATGGCGGAGTAGTAGTAGCAGTCGGAAAACATCTCAAAGCTTCAAAGGTAGAAACGAAAATGGACAATACAGTGGTAGTAGACATTTTTGGTCTAAACGAGCCACTCCGAGTGATAGGTATCTATTGGCCAGACAGACAAAAAAGAGATATCAACGAGATCTCAAATCTGATAAAGGATAATACTATCATTGCAGGTGATTTCAACGCATCCGTAAGACAATGGAATAGTCCAGCTACAGACAAAAGAGGCGAAATAGTAGAGAAATGGTGTGTTGATAACCACTTAGAGTATATTGAAGGCACAAAAAACTCATCAAAAAGATCACTCCGGAATATAGACTTTACCTTCGCAAACCTCCCGGGAATAACAGGTGAAACACTTGATTTCGGCACGAGTGATCACTGGCCCCTACTCTACAAATCTGAATTCATACGAATCGAAACAATGAGTAGCTTCGAGGTAGTAAAATGGATCCAGTATGAACTAATATTAGACCTTCTACAAGAATTCTGGATAGAACAAGGACGAATTATGCAGTCAAATGTATGGTACAAATATTATTCAAGATTTCTAGTAGCCTTAAAAAATAGACTTACTGTTTGGGTCGAAAAAGTCAAATGGAGACCATCACTGCCATTTGAAATTTTAGAAAAACTAAAAATAGTTAGAAGGATAAAAAAAGATTTTACAAAAATCGTCGAGAAGAAGACAGAGTCATATTACGGCATCTGGAAAGGGCAGTACGAATAGAAATCAGTAACTATCGGGAAAATAGATGGAACTCCTTCCTCTCTAGTATCCAAAATAACTACGGAAACGATATGTCAAGTTTCTGGAAACATCTATCTAGAGTATATAGGCCTTCAACGTTACCGTTCAATAAATTAGAGGGCAGAACTAAATAACTAACAAGTCCATTAGAAATAGTAAAAGAGCTGTCCGAACACTACAGTAACCTTTTTACACCATCACATCTGAACCCGGTGGATAAACACACATCAGAAATAGAACAAGAATACACAGAAATAATGAACCATATACCAAACTGCAAAATTAAGATAAAGCCGACAAATGTAGCTGAAATAAAACAAATAATAAGAAACTTGAAAGCAAAAAAGTCAGCCGGAGAGGATAATATTTCAAACTACATGATCAAGAAACTACCTCCAGGTTACCTTGAATGCCTAAGTTCATGCTTCAATGATTGGTTAGACAGGAGTACTTTCCCCGAAGAATGGAAATTAGCAAAAATCGTCACATTAAACAAATTGAAAGCAGGCGTACCAAAATGTGACCAAACTCGACCAATATCACTCCTAGCCACGCATTCGAAAATATACGAGAAAATTCTTCTGAATAGAGTACAGGAGTGGGCTGCAGTAAATAGAATTATTCCAGATGAGCAATCAGGTTTTAGAAAAGGATGTCAATTGCAAACGAGAGTACTATCCATCTATCAGGAAGTGAAAAACAACCTTGCAGGCAATATTCCAGTCATGGGAATATATGTAGATTACCAAAAAGCATATGATCTAGTGTGGCATAAAGGCCTTATTGTAAAACTATGCAGAATGCAAATCCCCCCAGAGATACTCAAAATGCTCATTTATTGGCTAGAAGGTCGAAAGGCCTACATAAGTTTCGGAGGCACCAAATCTGAAACCTTTAACACCCAGATAGGACTTCCGCAAGGAAGTGCTTTGAGCCCTTTCATTTTCATAGTATATCATGCTGACCTAGTAAAGACCACAAAAGCTTTCTCTACCCATATATTTGCGGACGATCTTTGCACCCTGATTGTGCCACCCATAGACAAGAAATATGCAAAAATGATGAAGTTCCTAGAAATAGAAGGTACGAAAGTCTGTAAGAATTTACATGATTATGCATGTAAATGGCAACAACCTATAAATGTCAGCAAAACAGTATACCAAGTATTCCATTCACAAGTAAAAGTAGAAGAAATACAAGTCAGTATGGACAGCACAGAACTAGAAAAAGTGAAAACGTTCAAGTACTTAGGATGGACTTGGTCTGACAAGCTGTCTCTAAGACCTACAATAGATCTATGCCTAAATCAAATCCAAAAGTCCTACATTAAAATAAAATGGTTAAAAAGGAACAAAAATATATCGACGAAAGTACTGCGAACTTGTTTCTTTGCCTTTTCGTTTCCGTTTTTTACCTGGATCTTTCCATTCTTTGCTATACTACCTAAAGGCCAACAAGAGATAATACAAAGAAAATATAGAGTGGGTTTAAGATTGATACATAGATGTCCGTTTGTGAAAGCAGCCGACCTACTCAAATTCACCAAAGAAAAAACACTAGAACAATACATAAGCAGATATCTAAAAAAGAGACTAGCAAACGCACATAAAACGGATTTGGGGAGAGCACTATTCTATGAAGAACCGTTCCACTGGAACACATTTGAAAGCTATAGAAAAGGTGACAAAGACAGAAGAAAACGTCTAGGAGTTGGACATCTCTATAGATTAAGTCGCGTCCGAAAAATGTGTGAAAGACATGAATCATACATAATGTCATGGCTGTCGTTTATAGATTCTGTAAAAGAATAAAATCACGTACTCAAAAGAGTATTAAAATCAAGGAAAAGGATAAAAAAGGGAAGAAGAAAAAGAGGAGAGAACTAGTGGAGAAGAAGCGACAAGGAAGAAAAAAAAATACTGCAAAATACTCACACACAAGAGAAATTACTCGGAGTGTTTATCAGAATCAGTCACTCGTGCTTTCGAAGCGCGAAAAATAAATACAAGTATCATGGAGTGGCGTATGTATTTCATAGTCTACAGCTTCGGCTGCACATGGAAGTCATGCTGGGCGATCTCTGGCAGTAATCAAAATTGCAATGTACAGATTGAGAACCACCAAGCTGAAGTGATGGCAATGCTAGAGAAGCAAAATAAGTTTAATCTGAACAACTGGTCACACGTAGCAAAATTAGTTATCATCGGGATCCTTAGCATCTTTATGATCATAGGCTGCTACTACATCCGCACACAGCTCTGGAAAACTTTAAAAAGTACGCATACACAGAAACAGATGAAAAAAGGGCAGAACGAAACAAAAGATCAACCATTCATCATATACACGAGAGACAGAAATAACCAGCTAGTTAAGGAGGAACTACAAGAAGTATAGACTCGTTAAGCCCTTTCCCTTCTTTCTTTATCTGATAGCATAATGGAATGGAGACAGCTTAACTTTGCATGCAAAAATTAAAGTACGTAACTACATGTTCTGTTTTTTCTCATCAGTCTTATATGCATAACTCTCGCTCAAGCAAAGCATTTTCTATGTGCATTCCCTTTTCTCGCCTTTTATCTCTTTTATCTACTTTCTATTTTAAATTTTAACTTTTTTCTCTCTTTTCTTCTTTTCTTCTTTTTCCTTTGTCTCTTCTAAACAAGTTCATCGCTATAACGTATAGAATTGTCTTACTCTCGCTCAATGTTTGTTTTTATGCCAAGTAACTATGCTTGATTTCTTGTACGCGATCACCTCAATATTACAAAAAGTCGTGAGCGCTTCTGAGCGAAACGACATAAGGAAATAAATCTAAGTATAAACTAAAAAAAAATATCGATATATCATCACATTTTCAGGTATTCACAGACTTATATTTAATAATTGTGTGATTTTGCATGCAAAAATATATTCTTACCTCGATAAGAATTGGAAGATATACGAGTCACTTGCTAGTCTCCTTTGTGAAACACGATCTGAACGAGTGTGTTTAAGTTTAAAAGCAGAAATTTGGATCCACCATCCCCCGCCTGCCCACGGGCTGTGACAGAATCCCAAAAATACCATCACAGACCGTGACAGTTAATATGTGTTTTTATACCATTGCTATTAAAGGTCTTAGTAAAAAGAAGAAAATGCGAACACGTGCTAAGACGATGCCCCCTTGTAATCTCCCCCCTCCCTCTCTCCCCCTATTTTTATACTATATCTTTAATGAAAAAAGCTTTCAGCGTACTCCCTGGCGGGATTCAATATATGAAACACGATAAATCTGTTTAAATCATTGTAACGGAGATTTCTGATCGAGAGTTGTTTTGTGCTTACATTAATCCGAAAGTTTGAATCATCGCTAATAATTTTTTATAGATAAATGAATACAGAGTGCAGGTCAATGAGGATGAAGTGTAGGTAAGCTCGATGTGTAAATAAACCACCTTCATCCTCGCACCGCCAACATTGGATCATTCCGGGTGTCTGTAACTTGTGTGACGGGTTTTTCGCATGAGATGCCTAATTCGACTTATATTATAAGTCGACCGCCAACAGACTAGTATCAATTCGAATATAAATAGATACCTATATTACACTTATAACAAATCAGTAGATAGGAATAGAAATAGATTTAGTTTTACTTATACATACATACCCTCACCCACACCCGGGGGTACTTCTCGATTGAGGGTGCCGCGGTGGGTGTACACGGGGTATATCTCGATTGAGGGTGAGGGTGTGGGTGTGGTTCGGGGTGAGGGTATATATGTATAAGTAAAACTAAATCTATTTCTATTCCTAAACTCACAGGGTGATGGGAGTATGTATGTATAAGTGAAACTAAATCTATTTCTATTCCTAAGGGTGGTAGGAATTGGGCACCTATATTATAAGTCGAGTTAGGCAGCTACTCAAATGTTGCATTATGTGCTAAAGACCTCGATGAATTTCTTATGAGTAGTCGTAGAAAATGGATTAAAAGTATTATGCTAGACTATAAAAGAACGCCCTTCACCAAATACTGTTCATATTAAACTGTTCAAACAGAAATTTATTGTGACTTACAGAAAACCTCACCAGAAGACTTTGATAACCATAAAATTCTATGAAAACACAAGAACTGAAATGATCGTGTTTCATATTTTGAACCCTGCAAGGGATCACGCAGAAAGCTTTTTTAATGCCATTGAATTTTATGATCGTATGATCGTATGTCACATAATACAATAGAACGAAAAAAAGTGACTCGCGAAGTGGCTGAATGATTCGTATTTCTTTCATTCCTATATATTTATATAGTAATATATGGTTTCTTTCCCTCTTTATCTTTAGTGAAGATATACGATTATGCAAATATACTACATGTTCTGTGATACAAAGATGTTTCTATTGTATTTAAAAACAAGTAACGCTCGTCTGTGGACTCGCTCAGCTCTTTCTCGTAGAAATCATCCTCTATAATATCACTGAAGTTTCTGTTTATATAATATGTAAAACCTGATTCGAGANACCAACTCAAGATCGGAATGAAAGATAAAGAAGACTACCTTAAACTCTGCGATGTCAGTCTATGGCCAGCCGAAATTCAAAACCGTAAAATCTCAGTAACGCTACCTAAATTTACGCCCGATCAATTCGCGTTGGTCGTCCGTAATGTGCCATTAGAATTTGCAGCTGAACATGTAATGGAGGAAGTAAGAAAATCTGCAACATCAGTGGATAAGTTGCGCATGATCATCTACCCATACCAACGTACAACAAATGATTTTCGATTTATCGTCTCAGATCTAAAGGAATACAATGGATTAATAAATTTGGGCCATGCTGGTGTAGGAAATAAACTATGCACAATAACACCATACAGACCAGCAAACAAAATTACATTCTGCAACAAGTGCTGGTGCATAGGACACATACGTAGCAGATGTAGTAGCATGGTTCAAAAGTGTAGATTCTGTCTCGAAGAATATAACCAAGGCCATAATGAAATATGCACAAAACAGTATAAATGTGCTCAATGTCACGAAAACCACTACTCATTAGATGCAAACTGCGAAATAATCAGAGAGTACCGAAGAAATCTGAACAAAGCAGTAAAAAAGGCAACAGTAGAATGGAAAATCAAGCTTCCTGAAGTCGACACTCGGCAATCGTTAATTAACCAACAATTCAAACCTGCACTTGACTCATTTCCTCCTCTCCCCGGAGCATCTGCGCAACGAGTGTACAGACCTACAGCTTGGAAGACAACAGCATCAACATCGACGCAAATATTTAACCAAACAGCTCCAGTAGATATCACTAACCAACAATTATTCGACAAAATATGTTGCCACCTGGACGAGAAGTGGAGCAAAGTAAATGATCATATTACCAATCTAAAGTCAAAAGTTAAGGGAAATGAAAAAGCTGGCTTAGAAACACGAAAAAATGTTTCGTGTCTGGTGGGTCTTGTGAAGCTATCAATCACAGATATTATACCGCCAATCGTGAAACTGGCATTTAGTAAAGACACCAAAGTGAAAAAAGAAGTCGAAAAATCGACAGAACTAATAAAAGATCAACTACAAGCGCTATACGTGGATATGGAGTTAGTTGGTATGACAACTGCAATGAAGGATATAGAAGAAGCTCAGGAACAGATAGACAAACCAATCAACTCAGGAACTTAATTTAAAAAATGCTCAATCCAAATGCTTCAGCTTTTGCATGTGCTTGTAATAAAGCTCCAAATCCAATAGTGAGAATAGACGAAAGACTACGGGAATGTAAAGTAGCAGTTAAAGACAGAAAGCAGATTAACAAAATCATACATGAATGGTATACAGCCCCAACGCTAAATAGTATCCTCACTAAGTGGGAAGATCACAACAATAGAAACGCTCTTTCATTAAATAAACACTCAACTCCCATGACCTTTGCAGTTTACAACGTAGAGGGATTATGCACTAGAAGTTTGGAAGTTACCGAACTGATAAATAAAGTCGAGGCAACGCTTATAGTATGTACAGAAGTTGGAGAAATCTGGAATAAACATCCTTTACCTGAGTATACTATGTTCTATGAAAAAGGGACAAGTAAGAATGGCGGAGTAGTAGTGACAGTTGGAAAACATCTGAGAGCTTCAAAAGTAGAAACGAAAATGGACAATACAGTGGTAGTAGACATTTTTGGTCTAAACGAGCCAATCCGAGTGATAGGTATCTATTGGCCAGAGAAACAAAAAAGAGATATCAACGAGATTTCAAATCTGATAAAGGAAAACACTATCATTGCAGGTGCACTCTAAAAAAAAATAGTGCTCTACTGAACATTCAAAAAAAGTTCCGTGGTTACGAAAAAGTCTTCAGACAGGTTCACTATTACAAAAACGCAATAAAAATTTCTACGGAACCATTAAAGAATCTTCCCGTGTTTCGAAGGGAAGAACCTTCTACTGCTATACCTTTTTTTAAGTTCCGCATTCCAAAAATAGATCCCGTAGCAAAACTTATAATTTATGCCGGTTCATGTTGTACTGTCTCAGGACC